AACACTAAATCCTAGACTAGCTACCTGTGGGGAGGAGAGGCATGGAGAGGGATGTCAAAGGGGCAAACACAGGAGGATTCTAAATTCTCTCTCATAACTTTAGTGGAGGAATCAAGGGTTGAATTTTTTTCATTGTTCTTTGGATTATACATTTTATATATAATTCCACATGCAAAAGATAAGAGACAAGAAATGAACCTACTCATATAGAAATAATTGGAGTATACATTGGAACAAATTTCCTGGATGACATATTGGCAACAAAAGATAAAATTGGGCATGCCTTTTGACCCAATAATCCTACTTCGAGAAAATAATCTATGAAAAGTTGACACTGTGCAAAGTATACAGAAAGACTTTGCTAAATCAGAAACAGTTAAAAATTAGGAACCTGAACACTTAATCTTGCAGAATTGATTAAGTGGATATTCGTGCAACTGACCGTTATGCAATCATTAGATATGCTACTGTTTACTGACATGGGTAAAGCCCACATTACACCGTAATTTACTTCTTTCAAATATTTGTACATCGACCAAGTGATATCTGCATGCACTGGTACTAATCTACTCCCTAGGGACAGTTAGTTGCTATTTGAAGAACTCTATTCAGAGCAAGCACTCCAGGAGTTTGGGCTTTAGAAGCAGTTGCTGCAAGTGCTTTTGGTGATAACCAAATCCATCAGTATTGGAGGATTTGCTAGCTAGCATAGGAGACACTCAAAATATTTTTTGTAGGTAAAATTTATAAGCACAACTGCTCTTGCATGAATAGAAGTATAACAGAAACCCATACCAAAAGAGTAGTTAGCATTAAAATATTTCATTGTCTGCCTCTAGTAAACTTGTTGTGAAAGGAACTTCAAGTATGTAAGACACAAGAGTTTGATATGTCACCAAGCTTGCAAGAACAGGTTTTGTGATTCTTTATAGTCACTTGCTACATGCGTGTATTACTTTGGGTTCTTCTGAGAAGCAGATGCCAAGACAGAGTTACTGCAGATTTTTTGGGAGAATGCCCAAGAAGGATAAGAAGATGGAAAAGACAAAGAGAACCTTCAGACCAAAATGAAGGTCTAACATTTGTAAAAGAGACAAGAAAGGAAAGAAGATGAAGTGGGAAGAGTCTTGGATTACAGTGGTATTCCAAGAAAGTTTCAGGCAAATCAATGGAGAGTTTGTTTGCCAAAGCCACACAACTGAGGAGTCAAATCTTGCAGCAAAGGACCCGCATTGATACCCCAACTGTGCTCGGTGATTGGCTGGTAACAGCCGTGGGAAGCATGTGCAAATGAGGCAACAGATCCAGAGGTTCTACAGCTGGCACTGCCAGTCAGTTATGCTCCCCATAGCAGGAGGCTGAGTATTTTCATGGTTGCTATTGTATGAATGATAGGACTCAGACTGGGAAAATCCACTTCGTAGACAGATAGTGAGTACTTTCACCAATAATCTAATCAATGGAAATAATACAACTACAAGACAGAATTTGATGGTTGTAAAATAGTCAAAATAGCTTAAATCTATTTCCAACAATATAGTTCAGTAGGTAGGAGGTTTCAGTGTGAATATAGCATGATTGCATTCTTTTTTTTTTTAAGTCATATGTGTGATATGGTGGGAGTAAAATTTTATAAAGTATTTTACAAGCTACCACTACAATTTCTTTTAGGGATTTTCCCTCCTTCTCAGCCTAGGCCCTCAAATCTTAAACCATCTTATCAAGACATTTTCCTAAGGCACTGTGAATAAGAAGCAGGAATTTGGGGTGTGGGAATCCAGAAAAAGAAAGGAGAGGAGGAACAGAAAAAAGAGGATAGGAGCAAGGTAGTCAATGGCAAAGGACTTAAAGCTGCCTTGTGAGTGATCTTGTATGTATTTGGGGAGAAAGCTGTTTGCCAAATGGAGATAAGGAAACAGCTACAGGCTGAAAGAAGTGAGATGTGATAACCAATGTTGACAAAGAGACAAAGACAAATATGAGTGTCTGAAAAATTCCAGAAATCTTAGAGCATGCACTAAACTCCCTACATGCTTTAGGGTGGGAGTACACACTGATCTAAGGTAGATTGAGAGAGGCAGGGTCAATACAACATACATCTTGAAAATAATCACAGACACAAAATATATATGTCAGAAAATATCTGACAGCATGAATACAATGTTAGTATTTTTTTTTTACATGATAAGGTTATGAATAATTTTTCTTCTATGTATTTTCTAGTTTTTTTCGATGAATATGAATTGGTATAATTTAAAGAAAAAGATGTCCAGGGAAAAAAGGAAATCATTTGGATAATTGTGTTATTTCCAGGAATTAGAATGAACATTAACTAAGTAAAGTCATTGTTTTCAGCACAGTTTCAAACATAATTGGTCAATTATAAAAGAAATTCATAGAACAGGTCAACTTACCCTGTAACCCACAAATGCATTTTACAGTTAAATTCTTCTTGGTAGGCATATTTAGAAGGCCATGTTTGCCAAAGTAGGACTGTTAGTTAGGATTTCTCTTCCATGGCCATTGAGGATGACTGCCTGTATCCTCCCAGAAAAACTGTTTGACCAGAACCATTTCTACTTTGCTTTATAATGAGGTCTGAAGAAAAATATTGCTTTATAAAGATCGAATCCAAAATTGGACATCATTAAAGCCAACGTTTTCTTTGAGAAGCAATATCTCTGGATACTAAGCTACCTCAGCCTCTTAAGGAACTGCCTCATTAGTGTTCTATTAACAAATGCATGTACTATTTGTGTAAGATAGCAAAGTACTTACCTCAGTGACTGGGACATTAAGATGTTTCCTTCTTCCCCCACTGCTACTCACCACTCCACTTGTCTGCTTAATTTCTAAAGTCTGTGGATCCTGGATCCATCATTAATCGGAACAGTTGGCACTTGAGACAGCCTCCCCCCAAAGGTAATAAAATTACCGGATTAAAAGAATACCACAGAGATCCTACTGGGATACTATTATATCTCCTCTTCCACAGACTCAATAAGTTTGGATTAAGCTAGACCACTGGAAAAATGTGTACTGCTGCAGGCTATAGTGTCTTCCCTATAACGATTTGGTAACAGAAACCAGGACTGGATGTCTATTCACCCCATGAGCCAGGTGACCTAGTCCATTATTCCATCTGAATAACTGTCCAGGACAGCCATGATGTATGTGCTTAGAAGACAGCAACTTAGACCTATGAGGACATTCTGTCACTAAATCATGCTTCAACTCTGAGCTTTTACTATCTTCCTTTCCCTCCAGCCATATTTGTGGAGGGTCTTAGTGGACCAACGTTTCATAGCTTTTTGGATTTCATGGACCAGTGAACTTAAAAAAAAGTTTTGAGAACTGACATAGGGTTGCCAAGACTTGCTTAGAAAAAAAAAAAAGGACTTACAATTATGCAATTTACTAAGTATGGTAATTTGACAGTAAAAAGCCAATATTTCTTGAGAAATCAAGCTGTCTATTTAGACCCACATTTTCACTTTGATAAAGTAATGCTTAATCAGTGTGTTGGGATGTGGCTGACCTAGCCATCACTCCTGCCTTTCCAGTGTCCTCTGTGCTGCTGTCTTCTCTGACATACCAGCTGTCTAGGTACTCCAGCACACACCACCACTTCTAGTCTCTGAACACAGTTTATGCCTCTTCATATTTCAGGTCTCAGATTGGGGTGTCAGGGCAGGATTCTAAACCAGAGACATTTAAGCACATTTAGGAACTGGTACTATTTCCATAAATGACACCAAAAACAGTATAGTTTGCTATATATCAGTAGATTTATTTATCATACCTGCTAGACTGCGAACTTCATGAGAAGAGCATTCACACCTACTTATCTTGCCTCTGGTACCTGACCCAGTATCTGGCTACATAATAGGTGCTTAAGTATTTGTTTTGAACTGGAGGAAATTCTACCCTTCTTTTGAATATAACCATTATATAATTTGTTTCTCGCCTTGCTCTGTTTCCATGCCTCTTAGACACAGGTTTATATTCCATCATAGCAACTATGTTGACTTTTCTGGTTGGAATATTTACTTTGTTTCCTTTTTCATTTTTTTACCTTTTATTATAAGCTGTTCTAAGCTGTTCTGAATTTCAGAAAGACGCAGGGTATAAATAAATAAATAAATAAAAGCCTTATAATGCAATAGCTCACCTGTTCTCTGAAATAAAATGCTGACATTTCAAATGTTCCTCATTGTAAAGGTTAGCTGATTAAATATATTCCTCTTCTGCTACCTCAGATTACCCAAATAAACATCAACCAAATATAAACCACACAAATAGATGAGGTTTCTGAACGGAGGTAGTTTTGAGGGCCAGATAGATGTTTGAAATCAAGAGAAAAGAAAATGCAAGGTACGGCCCTCTAGTTTAAAAACAAACAAACCACCAGAAGAAAACTACCACATGCACTTCTATATATGCTTATTATATGCCCTTTCAAAATACCAAAAAAGCCAGCTGCCAGCTGGGGTACTTTCCAAAGATTTAAAGAAGCATCAAGACACTATTTTTCCCATGGAGCTTATATAGGTCTGCTCTTACCGTTCTAAATGGATTAGACTAGCTATCTCTACTTTGGTAAATAATATTTAAAACTGGGCCAAGTATCAATTAAGCTTCAAATTCTGCATTATTTCCTAATAAAGAGGATTTAACACAAAATATACGAAGGGTAACAATCCCTAATTGGCTTAATTACTCCTCTAAGGCTCATATCACCTGTAATGATAGGATAACAGCTCTGAGAAAGTGCACTGATGTGGACCCTGGGTACGTGCTTAAGCTGCAAAAGACTGTAACCCCCATTCTGAGTAGTAAGGGATGTCCCCGTCATATCTGAGGATTCTTCCATTGCGATGTTTTCATCTCCAAAGCCACAGAGCGCCAGTCAGTCAGTACACACAGCACTTTTAAAAGCCACCCAAGGCTCAAGTCTGAACTCAAGGCTCTTCTAATGGCAGGGAGGCAAGAGAACGCACCTCTGGCACACACTCATGAGCTGCCTTGAACTTAATCGAATTCCACAGGGTGAGAGCCTCCAATAAAAGGCTTAACAGGAGCACAAAAGCACCATTTTCAACCCATCTGGGAAAATAATGGTGTTTGTTCTTCTGAAGAGCTGAAAAGAAGTTTTGGCACAGAGCCTGGCGTCTTGCTTGGCAGGCACGGCCAACCCTTGTGTGCCGATGATTGGGGGGGACATTCCCAACTCAGAGCTATAGGCTCCTTTGACGGTGGGGACACCTGAGCTTTATGGTCAGTACCAGCAGGTATTTTAGCAGGAGGCAGGTGAGCAGGGGCTCTGAAGTGAGTCCTGGTTTTGACTTCCAGCTCCAAAATTTACTAGTTAGATGACTGATAATATGCACCTTTAAACTGTTTCCTCTTTTGTGAAATAGAAGTTCAGGATGGCGCTGGATATAAATAGTCTCTTTAATTCTCATGTCAACCAGATGAAGTAAAACATTTAGCTCCATAATAGTGCACAAGTATTTGTTCAGATTCTACCACCCTCTCCTCACCATCTCCTGTCTTCTTTTCTGACAGGGAGAGGTTGAAGGAGACATGAGAAAAGAGCCAGGGGTATCGCCAGGGCCAGTCCTAAGGCATCTGGGTCCAGGGCAAAGTCCTTTCCTTCCTTGCCAACCTTCCTCATCCCCAACAGCATTCTTAATCTATTTAAAAAGTAGGGAGTAATGAAATTCAAGAACGATTCATAAGGGGGAAGGAACCCACAAAATGGCCAAGGATGTGGGCATAGAGAAAACCTTTACACACACACACACACACACACACACACACACACACACACCAGTGTAGGGCCATGAATTTGATTTGCTCCTGGTGGCTGTAAGGCCGGAGGTACCGGAGAGTGGGGTGGGCCTCAACAAGATGGCTCCAACCCAGACGAGGAGAACAATGGGCAGAAGTGAGCCAGCAAAATGAGTAACCGGAACTAGTACTCCAGCCACAGAGTCAGCCAGTACCTGTTACAGTGACTCTAGCAACCCCCATTTAGCCAATCGCCAGCAGTAGCAACCCCGTTCAGCCAATCACCAGCAGATGCGACAGCTGTCCCAACCAGTGATCACTCTCCCCAATCCCCCTCACAGCTTATCTCAGTGTGCCCTTTATAAACCTGTCGCCCATCTCGCAGGGCGCGACTTTCTCCAGCCCACAGTTACATGGACCGGATTGAGCTAATAAATTTTTCTTGGCTCCTTTGTTGCTGTTTCGCCTGGTCTGGTTTTGTTTACCTTACCTTTGGTGCCGAAATCTGGGAGGATGGTGCGGGACCCCAGTGGGGTCCCCCCTCCTCTCCCAATTGTGGACCTCTCTCAGAAACAGGACCTGGCCCCAGGACCTCAAACAATGCGGTGAGTCCCTTGCTTTCCCTGACTTCTCCTCCTACCCTCCGGGGTGCCCAGTCCAAAATCGCAGCTGCATCTGGGCTCACCCCTCCGGCATGGTGCCTTTGGCTCTGGTATAGTGGAGATGTCCCTATCTCCGGATCGCCAACCCTATATACGGAAGCGGATCTTCCTTTCTGTCCCTATTCTAAGTGGGTCTGGGACGCTGGGCTCGCTTGTTTAGGGACCCAGGAATGGAGGTTGTGGCCATGGGAAGCCAGCTTTCTAAAACTGAGGCTCAGAACCCCTTGCAGTGTCTCATATCTAATCTGGCTATTCTGGGGTTGTCCGAAGATATCCGTAAACAGAGGCTGATCTCCCTTTCCTCCCGGGCCTGGCCTCAATATCCTCTGGACAATCAGTCTTGCTAGCCCCCTGAGGGAACTTTCGATTTCAGCCTCCTCACCAATCCCAGTAATTATTGTCACCGAACTGGGGAATGGTCCGAAGTCCCCTATATCCAGGCCTTTTGGGCATTGCACTCCTGCCCAGACCTCTCCATCAGATGTTCCTCGGCCCAGGTTCTCCTGGCCAAATCCCCTGATAGGGGCTATCAGCCTCTCCCTCTGTTAGAATCTTCCTTTGCAGATCCTCCGGAGGACCTTGGCCTTCCTCCTCCAGCTCCTACCCCTCCTTCTCCTCCCCTCCCATCCGCCTCTTCTCAACTGTCTGCTCTTTCCCAACCCCCTCCTTATCCGACCTCTGGTGTCTGCTCCTGCCTCACCTCCTGTCTTGCCCCTCCTATATCTGGCCCTTTCCCCCAGCCAGCCATCTCTAATTTATTTGTCCTCAGCTCCAGTCATTCCCGGTTCGGTCGGCTCCCCTCCCCCATCCACTTCCATCCCTACTGCCACGGAGGCACTGTCTCCCTCCTCTGGTCCTGTTGATGTCACACCTGACTCTCTGTTTCTGGCTCTGCCCCAGCCACCCACAAGCTATATCCTCCTCTTCTGTCATCACCACCATCTTGCCCTCCTTCCATCTCATTCCCTACTCTCACCCTGCTGCCATCTTACAATCCTACACTGCCATCTCCGGGAGGTGGCAGGTACTGAGGGACTGGTTCGGGTACATATTCCCTTCTCCCTGGGGGACCTGTCCCAGATTGAAAAGTGCCTAGGCTCCTATTCTGCCAACCCGACTGCCTATACCAAGGAGTTTTGATACCTCACTCAGGCATACGAGCTCATGTGACACGACCTCCACCCTCACTCCCGAGGAGCGTGATCACGTCACCTCAGCAGCACGGGACTACACTGATCAGGTGCATAACTCCAACCATTCTTTGCCGGTTGGGGCCACAGCAGTGCCTGCCAAGGACCCACAATGGAACTATCAGGATGGTGCCACAGGTAGGACTAGGAGGGATCAGATGGTCCGCTGCCTTATTGCAGGTATGGAAAAGACGGCTCAAAAAGTCGTTAACTATGACAAACTGAGGGAGATCACACAGGAGCCTAATGAAAACCCAGCCTCTTTCCTTAATCGTTTAACAGAGGCTCTTACCCTTCACACTCATTTGAACCCTTCCTCACCGCTGGGGTCCACAGTCTTAGCTACCCACTTTATCACCCAATCCGCTATGGACATCCGATACAAGCTTAAAAAGGTGGAGGAGGGCCCCCAGACTCCACTCCAAGACCTAGTGAATATGGCCTTTAAGGTTTATAATGCCCGAGAGAAGGAAGCCGAGGCCGTATGGGCCCAAAGGCTAAAACAGAAGGTGGCCCTTCAAACCCAAGCTCTAGTCACTGCCCTGTGGCCGGCACAACAGGGGCCTCAGGCCCCCCCACCTCAGGAAACAGTCCGAGACCCGAACACTTCCAGGAGCCTACTTCAGGTGTGGCCAGGAAGGCCACTGGGCAAAGCAGTGCCCCAACCCCAGGCCACTGACTCGACCTTGCCCGGTCTGCAGACAAGAGGGACATTGGAAGTTTTAGTGCCCCCTGGGGAGGGAACCATCTCTCTGCGACAGAGTTTTGCAGGGGGCCGGCTCCCCCGACAGGCCCCTTGCCAGAGCTCCTAGGCCTCCTGGGCAACTGAAGCCGCCTGGACTTGAACACCCCAATCACTCTTGCCGAGCCCAGGGCCACACTATGGGTAGCGGGTAAGCCCATCTCCCTTTTGGTGGACACGGGGGCTACTTATTCTGTTTTACTCTCCTTCCACGGGCCTTTACATCCTTCTCAGGTCTTGGTTGTGGGCATCTTGGGGGTACCCTCCAAGCCTCTGGAGACCAGTCCGGTGCCCTGCCTTTTTGAAGGCCGTCCCTTCATGCATTCATTCTTAGTTATTCCATCCTGCCCAGCCCCTTTGCTGGGACGAGACCTTCTGTACAAGCTCAGGGCATCTATTTGCCTCACCACACACCGAGTTCCCCCGACTTTGCTCCTGGCCCTCGCCTGTGCTCTTCTTCCTGCAACCTTCATCCGATTTCCCCATTTCCCCCAAAAAAGTTAATCCAGTAGTCTGGGACACTTCCACTCCTGTGGTGGCCAGTCACCACACCCCAGTCCTCATTCGCCTTAAGGATCCCTCTTGCTTTCCTTCCAGGCCTCAATTTCCTATTTCACATGCCCATTGCAAGGGCCTCCAGCCCATTGCTAACCGGCTGCTCCTCCAGGGTCTTCTGGTTCCTACCAACTCCCCTTGTAATACTTCCATCCTCCCAGTGAAAAAGCCATCTGGTGCTTATCCACTGGTACAGGATCTACAGATAATCAACTCTGCCATAATACCACTGCATCCAGTGGCCCCTAACCCATATACTCTCCTATCTCAGATACCCCCCACTACCACTCATTTCATAGTCCTGAACCTTAAAGATGCCTTCTTCACCATCTCCCTACCTCCAGACTCCCAGCCACTCTTTGCCTTTACTTGGGAGGATCCAGACATCCATAGGACCCAACAATTAACCTGGACAGTCCTGCCTCAGGGATTCCATGATAGTTCCCACCTTTTCAGCCAGGCGTTGGCTGAGGACCTGTCCTCTTATGACTCTGGATATAGCACTCTCCTTCAGTATGTAGATGACCTCCTCCTGTGCAGCCCCTCCAGGGAGTCCTCTCTCTGAGATATGGCCTCCCTCCTTAACTTTCTAGCACAGCGGGGATACAGGGTCTCCCCTTCCAAGGCTCAACTCTCTACCTCACAAGTCACCTACCTAGGGGTGGCCCTGACCCCCCACCTCCAAGGCCCTCATGGTGGATCACACCACCTCCATCAGGGAACTCCTACCCTCCACTTCAGGTGTTAAAATCTTGTTGTTCCTTGGGCTGGTGGGCTTTTTTAGGCATTGGGTCCCCAATTTTGCTATACTTGCTAAACCACTATATGCTGAAGCTAAGGAAACTCCCACCAGCCCCCTCACTTCTCCCTTAGCTGTAGCCCGTGCCTTCGAGACTTTGCGAGACATACTCCTAGCTTCCCCCCACCCCACTTATGCTTCCTGACTTCCGCAAGGCTTTCCTCCTGTTCACTGAGGAAAGAACTGGGACCGCGACTGGAGTTCTGGCCCAACCAGTGGGACCCTCTCACCGACTGGTTGCCTTCCTGTCCAAACAATTGGACCCCACCGTCCAGGGATGGCAGCCTTGCCTCCAGGCACTGACAGCGGTGGCTTGCTTAACCAAGGAGGCTCTAAAGCTTACCCTTCAACAGCCAGTTACGGTCTGCTCTCCCCACAGACTCCAGGACCTCTTGGGTCACAAGTCATTATCCTTATTAAGCCCTTCTAGGGTCCAGGAGTTCCACCTTTTATTCATAGAACATCCCCAAATGTCTCTTGGCTCATTGCCGCTTCTAAATCCAGCTATTCTCCTTCCCTTCGCTAGCTCCTCAGTTTTGCCTGAATATTCCTGCGTAGAGCTGGTAGAGGCCCTTAGCCCCCCTTGCACGGGACTCTCTGATCAACCTCTGTCTAACCCTGATCTCACATTCTTTGTAGATGGGAGCTCAACTAGGGTGCTGGGCAGAGCCCACAGGGCAGCCTATGCAGTGGTCTCTCCTTCCGCCATGGTAGAAGCTGCCTCACTACCACGAGGGACTTCTTCCCAAAAGGCGGAGCTGGAGGCACTCACCTGAGCATTACAGCTGGCAAAGGGCCACTGGACCACTGTAAATACCGATTCTAAATATGCTTTCCTTATCACTCATAGTCGTGGCAAAATAGAAAGAAAGGGGGTTCTTAACCACCCAGGGAACTCTGGTGGTCAACGGTAAGGCCATTCAACATTTATTCCAGGCCCTACAAGAACCCAAGGAGATAGCCATCATCCACTGTCAAGGCCATCAGACGGGCACAGACCCTGTCATCCAAGAAAATGCCCTGGTCGACGCCACGGCCCGCCAACTTACCTCAAATCAGGATGCCACCCCTGTCCTGTTTCTTTCTCCCTCCCTAACTCCCAGGTACTCGGAGAATGAACAACAGCGACTCCTCAGCCAGGGCGCCATGGCTGGGCAACAGGGGTGGATGTACCTCAAAGACAGGATAATCCTTCCCCAGACACAGATAAAGGAAATCGTGGCCACAATCCCCTAGTCTTTACACATTGGACTCCTCAGCCAGGGCGCCATGGCTGGGCAACAGGGGTGGATGTACCTCAAAGACAGGATAATCCTTCCCCAGACACAGATAAAGGAAATCGTGGCCACAATCCCCTAGTCTTTACATATTGGTCCTGAGGCCATGCACAGGTTTCTTTCCCGGATTTTCTCACCGCAGGGTCTCCGAGAAACCATCAACCAGGTCCATATGGCCTGTCAAACCTGTGCATATGTTTCCTCTCAAGGAGACCTCCGGCGCCGGATGGTGGCCCACCAGCTGCGAGGGTGTCTCCCTGGACAGGACTGGCAGGTGGACTTCACTCATATGCCAAGACACAAAAAGTACCAATACCTGCTGGTAATGGTAGATACCTTTTCCGGTTGGATCAAGGCCTTACCCACGAGCCCGGAGATAGCCTTGGTGGTGGCTGAGACCTTGGTGGAGCACATCATCCCCCGCTTCAGCCTCCCGACATCCATCCAGTCAGACAATGGCCCAACATTCATTTCCAAAAACACTCAGCTGGTGGCCGAAACTCTCAACATCGTCTGGAAATTTCACATCCCCTACCGCCCTCAGTCCTCGAGTAGGGTGGAATGGGCAAACAGCTACCTGAAAGACCAACTAACTAAACTTTCCCTGGAGGTAAAACTTTCCTTGCCCGCTCTGCTCCCTGTTGCCCTCACTAGGGTGCATGCGGCTCCCCGGGGACCGGTCAGCCTTAGCCCATTTAAATTGATGTACGGTAGGCCTTTTCTCACTAACACCAGCCGTCCTACAACTCCTCCACCACTAGCCTTCTACCTGCCCTACCTCTCACTCCTCAGACACCTCCTACGAGAACATGCCGACCAAACCCTGCCCCAAGTCAACTCCATGTCTGAACCACGGGCAGCCGTCATTCTACAGCCTGGTGATGAAGTCCTCCTTCGAGAGCTCCAACCCCGATCCCTTCAACCTTGCTGGACAGGACCTTACACAGTAGTCCTTAAAACTCCTACTGTGGCTAAACTGTTAGGGCACACCTTGTGGTACCACATTTCTTGACTCAAGCAGGCCTCCCCCCAACAATGAAGTGTGGAAATCTAATGAGGTGGGACCCCTCTGGTTATGGTTTAGCCGTGTTGATGTTAGTAAGCCTAACCAATAACTTTACGATGACATGGGAAATGGCTGATTGGACTTGCAACCGATGCGTCTCTGCAGGAAAACCCCAACTCTACCAGCTGGTTCCCCATACATGCTATTATCAAAAATTTCCATGCCAACTAGGAAAACGAAAGTATTGGGCTGCAGTAATGTTAAGAGATTTCCAAGCGGGCTGCCTAGGCGGCAGTGGCACAATCTGCTGCTGAGAGCAAGACCCCCCTTACCAAATCCCCAAGGAAAGATACCCCTTGCCCCACTGAATGTT